GCATGGACATTACGGAGACATAACATCCTAAAGCTCAGTTTATGAGCAGTTACTATTTTGGGTCCGGGGTGAGGGAAGCGCCATGGGAACACAGGAGCCCCAACCTTGACCCTTGCCCGCCCAGAGCCTGCTGCCCCACATACCCTGGCCCTGAAATCTGGCCAAGTCTGGGGAGCAGCTGCAGAGGCCCTGGAAGAAACGTAGTGAGGCTCGGGCTGTCTAGCGACTTTGATAACCGAGCGTTCTTGCCTTGGAGGACCTTTGTTGACGGGGATTCTCCAAGATGGGTTGCATCTTGGCGTGATCGGTGTTTGGAGACAGCGGTGGGCCATTCTTAGGAACATTAATTTTCAGACTGGGCTGTAATACAGGGTTGCCTTTGGCTCCTTTTAGAACTTTCCGGTCTCTTTTGAAACTATCTTAGGCTGCTCTGCCGTGGCATTCTGAAGATTGCTTTTTATAGCTTTTCTTGTTTCCTCCCATGGTTGTCAGCTTTCATTTCCTGCCGGCAGTTTGTCTGCAGGGTGGCAGGCCAGCCCCCGACCCGTCTGACCCGCTGTGCCCCTGGGAGCCGAACACCAGCCTCGCTGGAGTCTGCACAACCAGGGAATCAGCGGACCCTGAAGGAGGGCAGGCTTGAGGGCCCCTCCCTGAGGAGCTCCTGGGACCTGAAGGGTGTGAACACCCCAGTGTGTTTTGGTGGCTCCAAGGCCTTTTTTTCTGGCTAGCTGCTGGGTTGGGGGTCCCTGCATCCTCAGCCTGTGTCTCTGCTTGGCATTGCCGGGGAGGGGGATGCAGCGTTTTATGAGGAGCCATTGACAAGGAGGAATCCCAGGTGTGGTGGTTTACAAGCGTGTACCTGTGTCTTCTCAGCAGCTGGGCATCGGAGTGTGAAAGATACCGAAAACAGGTGTTTGTGAGCTAGAGAGAATTTTGTGGGGGGAAAAGAAAAAGGAAAGTGAGTGGATGCTGAAACTTGTCTGCCAGAGTAGACTCTTAAAAATTCGTAGTGAAGTTTTTCAAACATACTGGAGAAGAAAAGAAAAGATGTCTGTGTTCCCAATACTGTGTTTTAAAAATTATATTACCTGTAGTTATTTTTGTTTAATCTTTAATTCTTACCCAAGGGTATTTCCATCGATTTTGGAGAGAGAGGAAGAGGGAGAGAAACATCAGTGTGAGAGAGAAATATCAATTGGTTGCCTCCCATATGCACCCCAATCAGGGATTGAACCCACAACCTAGGCATGTGCCGTGACCAGGAATTGAACCTGCAACTTTCGGTGTATGGGATAATGCTTCAACCTACTGAGCCACCTGTCCAGGGCCCTATAAGTTATTATATTATCATAACTAAGCTGTAGTCAGTCATACTGTACAGTGTGTTTGAAAGTTGCTCAGAGTGTAGATCTTAAAAATTTCCATCACAAGAAAATTTTGTAACAATTACAAAAAATATAATTATGTGTGGTGATAGATGTTAGACTTATTGAGGTGATCTTTTTGCAATATGTACGAATAGCAAATCATGTTGTACACCTGAAACTAATATAATAATATTTGTCTATTATATCTTAATTAAAAAATCACATTATCGTGTTGCTGTTTTGCTTCAGAGTTTAAAATAATAAGATGCTACCGAATATCATTAGAAGTCTGCAGTCTTTCCTTCTCGGACCCTGTCCTCCTTCCTTCTCTCCAGGGGCATCCACTCTGCTGAACTTAGCCGTGTTTCTTCCGATGCAAGTTTTTGTTCTTCTGGTGTCTGTTTTCCTACCCACCAACAATGGGTGGCATTCTTTTGCATGGGCAACTTCAATACCGTGATAGTCTTCCATAACTTGCTTTACTCCCTCACTGTTGTATTTGTGGAATGTATTCACCTTGTCTCGGATTCATTCATTTTTCACTGCTGTTGTGCAGGGGTTGGCACACAATGTCCCGTGGACCAAATTTAGCCTACTGCCTGTTTCTGTAAATAAAGTTTTATAGGAACCCTGCTATGTCCTAACTTTCTATAGCTGCTTGCACTGCAATGGAAAAGTTGAGCAGTTAAGACTGAGACAAAGCCCAAATAGTTAGCAAAGCCTAAAATATCTACTTACCTGGCCTTTTACAGAAAAGGTTACCCAAGCCCTGCCTTAGAATTCTGATGTCACAGTGCTTCAGTAAACATTTCTGTGTGTGCACGATTCTCTCCAGAGTGTGTGGCTCTAAGTGCAATTACGGGGCTGGAGGGCCTGTGTGCCGGGAGCAGGAGAGACCAAACAGGACTAAATCGGTCTCCGAGGCAGACCTACCAATCTGCACTCCCACCGGCAGTCTGGGAGACTTCCTGTCCCGCCGCCTCCTTGCCAACAGCCTGGTATTTAAGACAAGTTTGGCAAGTGGATGCAGTTAAAGTGGTGCTTCATTACAGGTCAACATCTCTTCAAGTTGTTATTGACCATTTTCCATTATGGGAATCATCTGCTAATAATATTCTTGGCTCATCTTCCTATTGAGCCATTTTTTTCCTTTTGAGTTATGAGAGTTCTTTATGTATTCTGGCTACTAATCTTTTCGGTTGTGTGCATTACAGACCGCCAGGGTCTTGGTTTTCAGGCAGTCTGGATTCTCTACCGGAGCTGTGTCTTACGGGCTAGTCAGCCTTAGTTCATCTTGAAGATACATGTGATCTGTATATATGCCCATATATGTGGTATGTATGAATGCAAATATGCACACACATGCATCCACAAATAACTTCTTTCCCTTGGGCAGGTTGGCACTGTCTACCTTTGAGAGTCTAAGGGTGGAGAAAAGCAAGGACTTGCCAACACTATCAGCGAGGCTGATCCAAAACAGCCTGCCCCGGTAGCATCATCCTAGAAGCTGGTTGCCGCTGACGCTTTGGCTGTGTAGACGTCACCCTCTAGGTCCCAGAGAAGCCGAAAGCCACTGTGGTGGGACACGAAGGGTTTGGAGGGCTGCCTTGGGCAGAAAGTGAATGCGATTTGTGGTTTTGGGTTTTCTCTGTTTTAGTTGTGGCTGAAGACAGACTTTGGTTTCAGCTTGATCAGGTCAAACCATTCTCTGGCTCACTGTGACTTAAATCATTAAAACTCCCGTTTCCAGCCCTGGCTGGTGTGACTCAGTGGGCTGAGCTCCAGACTGCGAAGCAAAGGGTCACCTGTTTGATTCCCCAGTCAGGGCGCATACCTGGGTTGCAGCCCAGGACCCCAGTAGGGGGCATGCGAGGGGCAGCCATACATTGATGTTTCTCTCTCTTTCTTTCTCCCTTTTCCTCTCTCTCAAAAAATAAATAAAATATTTTTTAAAAACCAACTCCCATTTTCAGGCCAGGCTACTTGTGTTTGACTTTGCGCTGGTCCCTCATCTTCAAAACTGAGAGCACCTGCTTCCCTTCTCCCTCCACCTCCTCTGACCTTTCCATTCAAACTGTCTGAGTTGAGCAGTTAAAAAATAACTCTGCAGTCCTTCGGGTTTGCGGATCCCTGTGAAATTTACACTCCTTGCCGCCACGCTCCCTGTGTATCTTAACAACAGCTCAGCGAGCTGCGCGGAAGAGAGATGGCAGCCGCATCTCGCAGTCGAGGACCACCGAGAGGCGCCAGCGCGGGCTTGCCCCGGCCCCACAGCTACCTGCTGTGCTGGGCCTGGCGTCCCACGCTGGTGCTCTTCCCACAACGTGTTACTGTGCCGCAGGCTCAGTTTGTCACCCAGGGGCCAGGACGACACCTCTTCATCGTGGCCAGTATTGCTCCTTCAGACATAACAAGGGGAACGTTCCCTGAGCCTGTGCCAGGTGCCAGACTCTGACCCTTCTCACCCGTGTCGTCTCCGGCGAGGCTCCAGGTAGTGCCATGCCAGTCGCAGGGCCGGCCTCGAGGCCTGTGGCCGGCAGTCGTTCAGGGCCCATGCTTGCCTTAGGAGGGTACTGTGCTGGCTTTGACGCCCTGCACTTACCTTCTTGAACTTTTAAATAATTCTTGAGCAGTTGGCCCCACATTTTCCAATTTGCACCAGGCCCTGATAATTGTGTCGCCAGTCCTGTTCACAGATAAGAAACCAAGGCTCAAGAGGTGACTTCTTTTGCCCAAGATTGCACAGCTAATAACTGGCAGAGCTGGGATTGCAGTGATTTCTACTTTGCTACTTCACTTATTAAAAATAGAGCTCTGGAGAGCCTTGTTTGAACTGCACTGCAGGGAGCAGGGAATGAGGCAAATCGTGCTGAAGAAATACTGATTTGCGGTGGAGATTTGCTTGCATGGTGGTAAATAGTTTTGTGGTGACCCCACCCTGGTCAGTTGCCCCCCTTGCCTTTCAGGGAGGGATCCTGTCATTTCTTGTGAGGTCCCTGAAAATATCTGGAACAGGGAACCTCATGGGGCAGCCACACAGGCTGACCAGGTGGGTTAATGGGCTTTTTGGATCGCAGAGAAGTGAGACCAGAGTTGAGGGATCTGTAAAGACCCTTGAGGAATTAAGATGCTGGTCTGTCGTTGGGGAACCAGAAGGATCTGCCGGAGCTCTTGGACCAGATCATGCCATCACTGCCTCGGTGGTGGAGGGTCCTGGATCCCCAGCTCAGCTACCCCTTCTGGCTTTGCTTTTCTCTGTGTGTCTCGTATGCCACCAGGCATTCCACTCAAACCTCTCCCAGGACATGCAGGTTTGCCCTGGCCCCTCAGGGGCTGCTGGTCTGCCTAGAAGTTGACCACTGGGGTGGGGCCCCTGGCCATGTGGGTATGGCTCTCAGGCACCAGTATGGTGACTTGGGCAAAAGAACTTCTAGAATGGGACAGAGTGAGCCTTGTTCTGTCTGGGTCATTGGCTGGCCAGCATCCCAGGACGGGCTTTGATCCAGTCAGCCATCCTGGAAGGTGAGCTCACTGCTTCCCGAGTAGGACATGCTCCTGTCTGGGGAAGGTCCCCAGGGTTTCCACAGCGACTTGCTGGCCTTGCTGGTCATGCACTCTGTTTTCCCTTCACAGCAGCAAACCCTCTGCTTTGCTCCACGGCACGCTACCACTGTAAGAATGGCCTCTGCATCGACAAGAGCTTCATTTGTGACGGGCAAAATAACTGCCAAGACAACAGCGACGAGGAAAGCTGTGAAAGTTCTCAAGGTAGGAGATGCCCCAGTGCTAAAAAATAATCGCAGCACCACAGTGCAGTAACACGGGAAGGGAGGGAGCGACACCTGTCCCCCCTTCAAGTACAATACTTTGTTAATGTTTGCACTTGACCTTGCAGCCCTTGGGCACGTGGCTTTATCTGTAACGCACCATCTGTTTTGTTTTTCTCATGTGTTAAACATCATTTGTGCATTTCCTCTTCAAAAGTGAAATTTGCCACCACTTTGTTACAGCCTGTCATGGTGCTCTGCTGTGGTTTTTTGCATTGTTGCATTGTTGGGGGCCATCGGGGTTGTTTATTTCCATTGAGTTACTTGTTTGGGGTAAGTTCCACCAGGGGCTGGGGGGAGCATCTGCATGATTCATGGCTCCACCTTGCCACACAGCTGTTTGAAATTATTTTTTTTGCTTTACATGGTGACTAGCATTGTCTGCCCTTGTCAGTTTCACTGTAATACCCCAGGCGTTCACTGCTGTTCTGTTTTTTTTCCATTTTTTGCTAATTTAGCAGTCATAGAGTGATAGCTCCCCAAATGTTTTAATTTGCATTTTTTCTTATTATGAGCAAAGTTAACATCTTCCCTCATGTGTTTGTTTACTACTTTGTTTCCTCTTGTGCAAATTGCCTACTTGTATCAGGGCTCTCAGGCTCAGAGCTATTTTTTGGAAGCTGATGGATACAGTCTAGGGATGGAAGGATGAGCTTTTTAGGGAACCAGATGGATGCAGCAGGGTAATATCCTCTCCTGGTACCTCACTTTTCTCATTTACTATAGACATGTATTTTCTTCAGTGACGAGGGAGAAATGCGAAGGATTAAGAACGTATGTTCATTTTAAGGCACCCTAAGAAAGTATGTACTTCTTTTATAAGCCGGTGTCATCTGTATGTAATCTTTACTTTCTTTACTCAATATCACATCTCTGTGTTTCACCCACGTTATTGTTTGTTGGTAGGTTTCATTTTCTTGACTGCTGCCAGTATTCCATTCTACAGATGTCCCACGGGTCACAGATGTAATAACACTGCAAAAAGGAAAGCAAGTGAAGGATGGTTGTCGGAGGGGTGGGGTCAGCCCCACGAAGTGAGATGTGGGTTCTTTTCAAGGTCCTAGCTTTTATGTGGGTTGGTGGTTATGTTATTGAAAATGAATACATGAATGAACAAACAGGTAATTCACAGACCACTGGTGAAAGTGGGTCACCAACCAAGGATTACGTTTGGCCCAATTCTGTACACATGAGGTTCAGACACAAGAAAAGACAAAATGTGCTTTAACATAGACTTTGCCAGAATTTGTGCAGAGAACAGCCCAGAGAGCTAAGTCTTGGGTAGGATCAGCCTCCAATTGTCCTTGGGTCTTTGCTCCGCCAGGGTTCTCCTCCGAATGTGACCCTCAGAGAAGCAGCAGCCTCACGTGGGAAACCCAGAGGCGCAGAGCTCGGGCTGCACCCCAGACCAGCTGAACCAACAGGGGTGCACTCCGTGTTTTCAGAGCCTTCCGGGTGATTTCCATACGCACTCTCATCTGAAGCCACTGTGCCACACCAAGTTCAGAGAGGTTTCCAATCTTGCCACGTGATGAGGAATTTTGAAACTTATGATGGAACAGCAAGGCATTTCTGGTCTTTACACAAAGTCAAATTGTTACTTGCCGAAAGTGATGCCAGTGTGCCTCCTGTGGCATACGCCATCAGCAGTGATAGGTGCTGGGTGCGGGGAACAGCAGCCACGAAGCCAAGTAAATGTTTACACAGACAGGAAAGAGTGAGGAGGATTTTTGTTGAGTATTAGTGTATCACTTTCTTACGTGTTTACTGCAAGCACTAAGGGTGCCCTGAGATGTTCAGCAAAAGGACCCCCAAGTCGAAAACTTGGAAGCTAGGGAATTTGTCCTGATGGTTTTAGCTACATCCTTCCCCACCCCCTCCCCCATAGGCCTCCTCCAGCATCTTAGTGAAGCGGAGTTTTGCTTGCCCTTAAGAACTGTCCCTCTGCAGGCTGGTTAAAGTCAGTATTTCTAAACCCAGCTCCTTATCCTCTATAACACTGTACTTGCACGTAAACGTGAGGTGTAGAAAAAGGCAGTGGTGGACACGTGCCCGTAAAGCCCACTTCTGGCGGACACCTGACTTGGAGCTCCCTTCCTTCAGTCTCCGCTTTGTGCCTCCCACACTCCAGCGACACCCCCCTCGATGGTCAGTGGTGTTCCCACATGCACTCAGAAGACATGTCCCATCAAGGCGTGGGTCACAGCTGCCAGGGCCCTTGGTGTGACAGCCTCCGAGCAAGGGGGCCCGCTGCAGAAAGGCCCGCCATCGGGAATCGTGCCTTCTTTGCCCTTCCAGGCCCGCAGATCCTGCCCAGCAGCAGAGTGGCCTCACAGGGCGGGTTTAATAGGCACTGGAGACCAGAAAAGATGTCCTCGTCGGGTGTCAGATTACTAAGCTGCATTTAATTTGTGCCCTGTGTAGTATTGCATTATTTGTGTTTTTAAATTTTGTGAGTTTCCAAATCCACCGTCTGTGAAAGTGATCACGTTCAGGGTTATTGTTGTTGTTTAAACAGAGAAGATGCTGCCGTCCCTCCCCCGGGGAAGCCGGCCCCACGGTGAGCGTGCGATGGGCCCCTGGGCCTGCTGTCGCCTGGGCCCAGGCTCGGTTTGGCGCCCCTCCTGTGGTGTGACGTCCCCCTGCTCCAAGTGTGGCTCTAGTCTTGAAGGATATGCTTTCCTCTTGTCAGGCATCCCGTAGGCAAACTGCTGGTTTTGTTGCTGGAACCAAGGAATGCCCATGTACCAGGGCTGGGGGAGATCCTAGCCCCTGGGATCTTGAGAGAATGGGCCCCACACCCTCCCGAAGAGTTTGAGAGCATCTGGATTGGACAGGATCTCATCTGGGGCCACAGAAGACTTGACCCCTTGTCACCTTAACGATAGTGAACATTCATCGAGCCTTACCGTGCGCTAGATACTGTGCTAATATGCACCTTCCGTTCATGAGCTCGTTTAGTCAAAATACATCCCGTCTGCTTCTGCTGGGCTTCTAGTCCTTCACAGATGCATCTTTGCTTTCAGGTGCTGTGGGAAAAGAAAATTGTATTTTATGATGTTTATTTGGCCAGAGTGGAGAAAGCTGGATACCCAAGACAGGATACATGGTTCTTAAAGTGCTTCCCCTCTAATGTGATGAGGGCATGGAAAAGTGCTGTCCCCACGCCAGAGACGCCAGCTTCGGCCTGCCTCTCCTCCCTTTCTCCGAGCATCCCAGCGAGTTCCCTGCCTGATCCTTGGCAGTCAAACCAGCAGCGAACTCTGCCAGCAGTTGGAAGCGGGATGGGACCATGAACGTGTAGTCATTGCCATGCCTTTCTATTCTGTACGGGATGTATTAGAGCCCAGAGGACAACGTGGCAGAATCGAACTTTAACTGGGGCCTCATTGATTGGAACCATAACCTGTTTCCCGGATAATTCCTGAAGCCGTGCCCTTGGAGCAGCCTTGCATACGGACTTTTCTACTGCTTAGGAATTCTCCCTGGATGATGCACCTGAAGTCAGCAGGTGCTACCATGCACATGCGGGGTGCTGCCAGTGCTCAGGTGGCCTCAAATTAGTTGAATTCAGCCCTAATTGCGCATTTAGATTCTTTTCAACTTTGGATAAATGACTGAGCATGGCAGGCAGCCTTTAACGATTCCCACCTCCTGGGGTTCACACCCTGGTAGAATCCTAATCCTTTGAATGCGATCTAGACTTTGTGACTTGCTTTTTTTTTAAATTGTGGCAGAATACACCTAACATAAAATTCACCATCTTAACCATCTTGGGGTGTATAGTTCAGTTGTGCTAAAGTATATTCACGTTGTTGCACACCAGTCCCCATAACTGTTTCATCTTGCAAAACCAAAACACTCTACCCATTAACAAAAATTCCACACTCCGTCCTTTTCTGCTCAGCCCCGAGCACCACCATTCTACTGTCTGTCTCTGTGCATTTGACTGCTGTGGATATCTCGTGTAACTGGAATCGTACAGTATTTGTCTTTTGCTGCCTGGCTTATTTTTTACTCAGCATTATGCCTTCGAGGTTCATCCACGTGGCAGCATGTGTCAGAATTTCCTTTGTCTTTAATTAAGGCTGAATAGTACTCCATTGTACGTCTGCACCACATTTACCCATTCATCTGTTGATGAACATTTGAGTTGCTTCCACCTTTTAGCTATTGTGAATAATGCTCCTGTGAACATAGATGTACAAATTGTGACTTGCTTTCAACAAAGAAAACAGCGTCAACAGCATAGGTTTCAGTTCCAAGATTAGATGTCAAAAGACTGGTGTCTCTTCTGCTCCCTCTCTCGTTCATGCTGATGGAAGCCAGCTGCCATGTTTTAAGCTGCCCCTGGGATAGGCCCAGGGGGCAGTGACCTGGCAAGGGCTCTGACCAATAGCCAGCAAGAAATGGAGGCCTGCCAGTAGCCACGTGGGTGAGCTTGGAGGTGGCTCCTCCTCTGGTCCAGCTCGAGCCATCTGAGACCTCAGCAGACACCGTGACCGTAGCATTGAGCCAGAGCTTAGCTGCTCCTTCTGGACCATAGAAACTGAGATAAAATGTTTGGGTTACTTAAGTCTCTGAGTTTGGGGGTAATTTGTTACGCACTTGGTAGTAGATAAGTAATGTAATGAATGCCTCTCATGTGGGGCCCAATTCTGTCTGTTCCAGTCACAGAGGGTTTATGAAGACTCAGGCGATGACAGGGGGTCACCGGTAGAAGGAGCTCAGGTAGGGTGCTTATAAGGACTGCTGTGACTTTGATCACTGACCGTATGGCAGGCACCATTCCAAGCATTTTGTGTATGAGAAGGACCCTCTTACAGAAAATGAGCCCCCCTTTTCTAGATGGAGAGTCTGAGGAACAGAGAAGTTGTTCAGGGTTGTGCCACGTCCACATGAGTCAGTGGTGGAGCCAGGGTGGGAACTCAGACCATCCAA